ACACATAGTTGTTTTGATGTTTCTCAGATTAAAAAGTTTCAACCTTTCGAAACCCAAATGCTGAATGCTGAAACTCCCATCTGATACTATCTGTGTTGTTCATGATCTCTTGATGGGGCCATGGCTTGGCGTAGAAGAATCCAGTCCCAGCTGATGGAGCTTGATGGCAGCACCAAATAATATGATAACACTCAGCCTGATACACATCGAAGCAATTCACTATTAAAAGCTTGTGTTCATAACCTCAGTTTTTCCTCGCCCAATCAGTAAAACACACTGACCTGCGTCTTGGCACTAATCATGACTCTCCCCATATGAAAACTCCATGATTGCGTACTAAAAGCGCGTTTGTTCTCGGGTATGCTTCAAGCTATATGAAGTACAATAATAGAAAAATAATCATTATTTATTATTGTACAATTGAAAGATAGAGAGACTTGAAAAACATCATCATGAAACTGTAAACCAGAAAGAAAATGGACAAAGATGATATACCACTTCAGTTATAGAATTATCAGCTCTCCTTCGTGTGCGGCATTCTCAATTATTGGAACTATAAATTCATCAAAATACCCATGTCCATCAATTCCTTAATCGTTTCCATGTGAGTGATCTGTTAAATTAGTGGAAAAATCTATATACCCAGAGGAAAAGCCTTCATTCACCCCGTCAAATTTAAAACTAGGCATACAGAAGCTGACTTCTAACAGCAACAGTTAAATCAGATAATTACTCGAAAATCTTAGACAAAGGCCTGATCATAGATACTAGACAACCTCCATATCATGACTGTGTATAATAGCACCAGCACTGCGCATCTCATAAATCTGTTCATTCAGAGACGGGACAATACCACAAAAGCAATAAATGCATCTATAGGGGCATACAGTAAATAAACCAGAAAGATTAATGTAAAATAACAAATTAAACAGTGTTTGTGTGTGATCACCTTCATGAACAGAGGATCACAGTCGCTGCCCTTGGGAGGGTTGTGAGGATATGGCTTCACAGGAGGTGTTAGCAAATCAGACCCGTCCGAAGACTTACAAACGTCTCCTCTGCAGCCATTCTCTCCTTTGAACCCCTTTTCATTTAAAGATAGTCATATTTTTCAGATATTGAAGTGAATAGAGTAAACTTGTTATATGTGTAAAGAAGGAGCGGTGATTATGCACCAGAAGGGGTCACGACGATGAGGCCGAGATGGTCCAATTTGACAGACATAGCTCCTCCAGTACCTGAAACCCAACCCATTCTGTAGAATTTCCGGCATAATTCTGCCACTAGAGCCATTGCATCAGTAACTTGCTTGTCCTTCAAAAATCGACCATATTTACAATGGGAATCCATTTTCTTGGCTTTTCAACAGTATATGAAGCGTAGCAGTCAATTATATAGATGCAGATAGAAACAGAGACGCATCGTTTCGTTGTTCTCCATCAAGTTTCTCAGCTTGGAAAAACTAGAAGCCTAAAGCGTCGCTTGAAACCTTTTTTCATTTGGGATTGTTCTCCTCCTGGAAGACTATAATTCAATTTATAGTTTGGGGAATCGTAAACGTCAATATTAGTATGATTTATTGGGATCTTGTGAAGCGCCATGTTATTTCATTTTCGATATCTGTTGTGTGTGTGTGTGTGTCTATATATATCTTGATGATTTTGGCAGATTTTTGTACGATGGAAACTCCTAACGGATAGGCTCCCCTCCTACGAGACCTTTGGACTATTCAAGGTGATAGGACATTTCGAATTATGAATTATTACCAGCGAATATATGAATATTTTTGTTTCTCTGCAAGCAGCATAGTACTATTAACAATAACGTTGTGAAAATTTAACTGATGAACTTCTAATGATTGCCAATGTGAAATTACATTACAATGTACTATCTCAGTCATTAATATAAGGCTTTGTTTGACTTTCATTTTGATCTTAAATATAAAACATCAATCCACTTTGTCTATAATATTATGCATTTTTTTCAGATTAGTTCCTCTAATAATGGTGGTTCTAACCAATATACTTGATTAGCAAGGATATTTTTAAAAAAACAACATCTATTTACTACAAATAACTAATTAACTTATTTTCTTAATCTCCTCAATAGTCAGCTAGCTCTTATAATTAGGACTGGAGGTAGTACTATATTTGTAAGAAAATTATGAATAAATTATTATTGAAATATATAATAATTAAAACACAACATCAAACAAATTTGATTGTGAATCCCTTTTTGCAGAGTTGCAGATTCTCAGATTCCAGGACCTGGGGGCAGAGGAATAGGATTGAACAAAGCCATGAAGTTTAGAGCTAATTCATGCGAAGTGACAAGCAGATTAGCAGGCAAGAACCTTGCACTGGCCATATATATCCAATTAACAATCACACATTCATTACAGAACTAAAGGCGATTAACAATTCTCATCCTACGGATCTTACTTATTTTGTATACATATATAAACAAATTGAAAAGGAAGAGGTAACAAGTGATCAAGTATTGCCCTTTTAGTTGGTCGAGTTAGTTGATACACAAATGAGAAAACAGAAGAGAAGAGAGATTCAGATGATGTATATATGTCCATGCATGAAAATTAAAGAAAATGAAGAACATACATTTATACATGCAATAAATTAAAAAAGGGCCCATTATTATTTTTGCTTCTGTCATTCTATAAAGATCTAAAAACTGGAGAAAAAAAAAAAGCAGTGAGAGACGTGGGATTAATTAAGACTATAAGGAAGAGAGAAGAAAACTATATAAATAAATAAATTAAAATTAGATGGGAATAGTGTGGTTACATATTGCATATGCATGCAGGTGCAGTGAGAATATATAGTTATAGAAAACAAGGATGGATCAATCAATCAATCAGTGTTTCTGGCGCAATGTGTAATGACGGTGCAACCACGTCGATAAGGGTTGGCCCTCCCGCGTTTGTTGCAATTATAGTAAGAATTTCCACGTCGGTTGCAGGGAATATTATCCTTCTTAAGAGCATCGTAACTTATATACCTCACAGTCCTGAGGTTCCTGGATCTGCTCTTACCAGTAGATCTCATCATTAAAGACATTCCTTTGATCTTGTCGGAACACTGATCTCCTTGCAATCCATTGTTGTTATTGTTGTTGTTGTTGCACACTTGATCCTTCTGAAACATGTTGTTGTATGGTTTTGATTTGGACATCGAACCCAAAACCATGGCTAACAAAATTATGATCACAAGACCATGCTTCATCTTGATGATCCGATGGATGGATGGAGGGGTGGGTGGGTGGATGGATGAATTCTACTGATTGATGATGATCAGGGAGATCGATGGGGAGGAAGAAGATAAAATATGCAGGAGGGGAGAGTTTTTAGTGATACCATAATAATAGCAAAAGGTTGAGGGCCAGTTGTTGGGTTTTCTATACTTTTTTGTTTGTGGTTGGCAGAAGCAACAAGTGTTTGGTATTACCCTTCATATATTTGAATTTTGGATTTTATTAGCTAAGAAATAGTGATTCTGTTTTATGAATGGCAATGCATGAACTAGCGCTTGTGATCCGCGAGATCCGTTTCTATTTGTCCGGGCTTTTCTTGTTAATGTGAAGCTATATATAGATGCCATGGTTGTTTTTCGTATCGCACAATCTTTTAGAAAACGGGCGTTGAGGGTAAAGACCTATTTATGTTGCATCAATATAATTTGAGGTAATTGTAATAGTCATTATTACTCAACGGACCTTTTGGCCCAAAAACAATATTACTTAGTAGACCTCACAATTCATCACTCCCTCCAAGAGATAACTCATTGTTTATTGTGATAATACAAGGTCAGGGATCTATAAATACTTTTATAAGTATTATATGAGCATGGAGTCATACTTTGATCTTGAGTTCTGAGATTCAATTCACTTAAACTTTTTGTTATTAAAAAAAAAAAGAGATAACTCATTATTAATTAAGGATAAATGTTTTCAACAATTAAATAAAAGTGAATGTCGGTGAAAATATTATCGACGTGGAAAAAAGAAGATACGCATGTTTCAACTTTCAATATAATTGATGAAATAAACATCCAGTATAGTCGGATAGTAAGAATATAAGTTTTGTCTCTTTTTTTTTTTTGTTGAATTAAGTTTTGTCTCTTTACACGCACACACATATAAGTTTTGGATGAGTTAGTGAGATTTAATTTTTTTTTATTTGAAAAAAATATGAATAGAATCACAAGGGTATACATAGATGTTAATCTGTTATCGACAAGAATTTTATTAATTAATTGCTAATTATTAGCGATATGCTTGGGGCGATTAATTTTTTAATTTGTGGTACAGGAGCCATAACCATAAACCATCGAAGTAAGATAATGCTCTTAACACAAATGGCGGGGTAAGTATACAAAAAGAATCGAAATGTTTTTGGGGGTGGGGGGGGGGGGACAAAAGTATCGAAATTCTCTAGATTAAAATCATACTTCCCTAATTAATGAAAGCTTGCTCTATGCTCGCCGTTGATCGAGCAAATAGATACACATACACTGAAATACCAGGAAATCAATTCCAGACACCCAGCCAAACACAAAAGAAGTCACTTCTGTTTCAACGTCCATATAACAATTAAAGCAGCCCACCAATGCTCCCAAAGATCAAGCTTATCCCAAGGCTAACCCCCGAAGCCAATCCCACCACCGGACCAGCAAGCCTCAAACCTGGGCCGGAACTAGCCGATGGCGATGAAGTTGGTGTCTTGGCTGCCGGAGATGGTGCCACAACCGGAGCCGGCGCCGGCGCCGGGGTAGGAGGTGACTGGTGATGAGGCTTGCCTCTCGCAGCCATAACGACGACGATCAGTTTTTGACCCTTCTGGCAATGCTCAGATTTGCCACTGATGAAGTAGAAGGGACCGGACCTATTAAGAATGAAAGATGAATCGCCATCCTCCATCTTCTGCAAGGGATTTTTGGTGTTGCACGAATCGTAATCCTCCTTTTTCACCACCAAAACCGAATCAGACCCTTTCTGGTACTTAAACCTACATCCACCAGAAACAACAATCAATGATACTAATGGAGAAAAATCACACTACACATTGTGAAATCTATATAAATATGGAGAAACAAAAATGTACTGGACTTACGGAGAGTGTCATTCACTTGAAACCTCATTCTTTGAGCCCAGTGATGGTAGTCTTCTGAAGGCTTCGTTACCCAACCATCTTTGCCACCAACGTAAAACTCTCGTGCTTGAGATAATGACGTGAAAAGAAGCCATGTGAACATGAAAAAGATCAAAAAGCCTGGAAACCTGCAGCCAGATTCAGACCCATTCGCAGAGAAGTTAATTCCGAGCTGATCTTTGAGAGAGAGAATTGATGATGAAGGTGGGTGTGGATTGATCCGAGTGTGATACGCTCATAGCATATATAACGGAGATTGAAGAAAGAGAGAGGGAAGTGACCGTTGCGGAGTAAAACGTGAAATATGCTGTGGAGGGTTGGCATACAAAGCTGAGGGAGGGAGCGTTTTGTTTGTGATTTCTATGCTCTAAACCAGAGTACGTTACTTCCACTTGGCGACATGCAAGAGACTCAACGGTAACACTGTTACCCACCAACCTGGATCCCCTTGAAATTGTTATATTATATTTTTTCAAGTGATTGAGAATTTAATTTAATTTAATTTTTTTTGCCAGAGAGACTGAGAATTCGATTGAAAAGGGAGTGAATGGTTTTTTTTTGTTGAAAGAATATGTGTATGTTTTTATCTGGGGAAAATTATTCCAAAGGTCCTTAGCATTGAATTGAGTGGAAGATATCAAGGAAATTAACATCTATTAATAATAAGCAAGATTAATGAAAATTTAAACTTTTGAAAGAAAATATACCTTTATTAATTCATTAATAGTTTAAATTGAGGGTCTTCATTAATCAGAAAACTCTTTGGCGGTTAATGAGTTGGCAATTTGCAATATCTCCTCCAAATTTTGGGAGGAAAAAAAAACAAGTCCCTTGCTTCTAGAAAATAAATTAAGAACTTGTGTAGTGCAAAACTGAAATTTGCAAAAAAATAACGTTTGTAAATTGAGGTTAGGATAAAAGTGAATTAATATAACATGATTTATAGTAAAATAACTTTTTATAAAAAAAATTATGTTTAACCAAAATTTTTTGGGATAATATAATAAAAAACATATTTAAATGTATAATGCCGGAAAATGACGGTCATTTTATTATATATATTATATTTATAAATTTGATAATTTTAGAAAATTATTATAGTTTTAATTATAATTGCAATAATTATTAAAAAAATTTAGAATGTAAAATTGTACATTTAACCTTTAAATATAACGTTTAGTATATAGTATTAATATTCCGCTAAAAAAAAGCAATATCCTCTTGTACTTAATATGAAAGCTTATTTGATTTTTACTTTTTTTTTATGGGAATTTGATTTTTACTTTAGTCTTAAATAAAAATCCTAATCCACTTTATTTCTCATATTTATTCATTTTGAAGATAATTCTTGTAATAATGGTAGTTCTAACCAATATACTTGATAAGAATGGATATTTTAGAAAAGACAATACCTATTTATTACAAACAACTGAGTTAATAAATTTTTTAATCTATTTGAATTACTCTTCCGGTCATTAATATAGGAGCCGATTGTTGAGTTGGTTTTGATCCTAAATATAAGACCCATTTCTCATATTTATTAATTTTCTCTAAAGTACCCCTATAGATACTCCCTCAACCATAATCAAGTAAAGGGAGAGATAAGGTATTAAAAAAGATGATTATGGTGTTTTAGAAAAAATGTGTCACATTTCTTATAATTAATATAACGTTTAGTATTAGTATATAGTATTGATATTCAGCTAAAAAAAAAAAAAGCAACACCCTCCGGTCCTTAATGTAAGAGCTTATTTGATTTTTATTTTGGTTTTAAATATAAAATCCTAATCCACTTTATTTCTCATATTATTCATTTTTAAGATAATTCTTGTAATAATAGTAGTTCTAACCAATATACTTGATTAGCATAGATATTTTAAAAAGACAACACTATTTATTATAAATAAATAAATTAATAAATTTTTTTAATCTATTGAATTAGTTAACCCACTCTTGTATTGAAGATGGGAGGAAGTAGTCTATAGTATTATTAATATTAAAAACAGTAAAATTCTAAAATGTATTGCCGGCCAAAAAAATAAAATAAATCTAAAACGTATTAGATCAAGCGCGCTTTCAGGAGCGAAGCCGTTTCCAGAAAGGCTCTCCTCTCCCATGTCACTGCGCGCTTTCAAGGAGACTCTCAAGCCGTGCACAAGCCAACCGTCTTCTCCATCGGTTAGCCAAGCGCAATCTTCGATTTTCCGAGATTCCGACTTCCCAATCCCGAGGAAACCCCCAAAGTCCTCTCTCACCAGCAGCTTCGTCGCCTGCAAGACCCACTTGCTCCTCCCCTAATTCAGCCTCACAATTCACCTAAGCGAGAAAGGAACAGAAAAGTAGTGACGTCGTGGATGATGATGATGAGGAGGAGGAGGAGGAGGGAGGAGGAGGAGCCAGAATTGAAGAGGGAAAAATTCGGTAGAGCTAAATTGTGTCAGTTTCAGTTCGATCATACTGGACCCTTTGAGCCTCTGGTATTGTCTTCGGATGGAGAAGTTCCAGTGGTACAGGTGGCTCCATGTTTTTGAAGCTTAATGTTTTCATGAACGCAAATGTTTTTCGATGGAGTTTACTTTATACAGAGGTTTCAGTCCAGTTACTATGCTTGAAACAGTTGAATAACTGTTTGGGAAGAAAAAGACTTTGGTTGCATCCTTGGCTGAATCTAGCAATTGGCTTGAACTTTAGTCAAACTTAATGGTTATTCGTGGTAAACAGGTCGATAAATTGGTTTAAGTAGGTCGTTTAAGTAGTTTTGGCAGAAAATGTGTCATCATTTCTTCCTATTTTTTGTGTATTGAATAAATAAAATCATATTCTCCTGGAACTAGTTCAAGAAATTATCATAACCCTCGAGCTGTTTTCTTTAAGAAAAGAAAAAGGACTCTTACGCACCCACATCAGAGATGTAGTTTCTGTGCATGGGTGTAATTTAGCAATTTACAGTTCAGGAATGCGGACATACCTAAAAAACAGGCTTTACTTGCCCCCCCGTCTGTGGCATTGTCAGGAGCTTGTTTGTTAATGCTATGATAGATTAAATACTGAGTCATTTGTGAGGAGATTAACGGTTTTCTTAGTTATACCAATGCATTTTACGATTTCAGCAGTGTGCTACACAGTTCTATAGGGAAATAACGGTATAGTTCAAACATTCATGGACATGAGTAACACAGTGGATGCGTTATAAATAGACGTTTACAGCTGTCTCAACATTGATAACTGTTAGACAGCATATGGCGTAAAACCTTTTGCACTGAAGTATTGCAGTTTGAAATATGAAGAAAATTATTCTTAAAAGAGTAATTCATTGTTTCAGGTTCCTGCATCTATCAACTGCAGACTGCTTGAACATCAAAGAGCGGGAGTGAAGTTCTGTATAGTTTGTATAAAAACAATCATGGAGGCATTCTTGGCGATGACATGTGAGTCACATGTTTAATCTTTTTCTCTTCACATATTATACTAACTTAAGCCGTTGCAATCCATTTTAGTGAATCTATCTGTCATATATTGGCATGCTCAGTATTCTTAATCATTTCATTTTCTTATGTAATTGCTGAAACTATCTGTTACAATGTAAATTCTTAGCTTTTACCATGTGTGATATCGATATTGGCTGTCTTTCCTCCCTTTTTTTTGGGGGGGGGGGGGTGGGGGGAATTTGGTTATTTTCCTTTTTGTCACAATTTCTTCTGCAATTTCAATTTTTATTGTTGGGATTTTGAAACAGGGGTCTTGGAAAGACCATTCAAACAATAGCATTTCTTGCTGCTGTGTTTGGTAAAGATGGAGAAATATGCCAAAGGAAAATCAAGCAATGAAAAGAGACCCTGTATTAATAATTTGCCCAACTTCTGTTATCCATAACTGGGAGAGTGAGTTCTCTAAATGGGCAAACTTTAGTGTTTCCATTTATCATGGTTCAAACCGAGATCTAATATATGATAAATTGGAAGCACATGGAGTGGAGATACTTATTACCAGTTTTGACACATACAGAATTCATGGTAGCATCTTGTCAGAAATCAAATGGGACATTGTGGTCATTGATGAGGCTCATCGGCTCAAGAATGAGAAATCAAAGCTCTACAGAGCATGTTTAGAAATAAAACCCAAAGACGTTTTGGTCTTACTGGCACGATCATGCAAAATAAGATCATGGAACTGTTTAATCTCTTTGACTGGGTTGTTCCAGGATCCCTGGGAACACGGGAACATTTTCGAGATTTCTATGATGAACCCCTCAAGCACGGTCAGAGGTCAACTGCTCCGAAGAGGTTTGTTGATATTGCCAACAAGCGAAAACTGCACCTTGTTACAGTTCTTCAGAATATATGCTAAGAAGGACGAAGGAAGAGACCATTGGGCATCTTATGATGGGAAAGGAAGATAATGTTGTGTTCTGTTCTGTGCCATGAGTGAATTACAGAAACGGGCATATCGGAGAATGTTACAACTTCCTGACATCCAATGCCTTATTAATAAGGATTTGCCTTGTAGCTGTGGAAGCCCACTCACACAAGTTGAATGTTGCAAGAGGATTGTATCAAATGGAATCATTTGGCCTTACCTCCACAGAGATAACCCTGATGGTTGTGATTCATGTCCCTTTTGCCTTGTCCTTCCTTGCCTTGTCAAGCTCCAACAGGTTGAGTAAGATCTTGAACTTCTGCACCTCTCTTTTGGTTATAGCATCTCCGCAAGTTGTATATCTTAAAAGATGCTTTATTCATAGCTATGGCTGTCGTGGCTTGCTATTTTTGGTAAATTTTGTCATGATTCAGCTCAACAATTCTAACAGGGAATTGAAAGCAAAGCATTGCCTCAATTATAGAAGATATGCATGCATGATTTGTGAAGATACAATAGATGAAGTAGGATGAGTGACTTGACTCAAAAAGGACATGATATGACTGACTTTGTTTGAAATCTTTGTCTAACTCATCGATATTCACTTTAGTTGAATGACTTCATTTTGCTATGTGGAGATAGCATCTACTCACTTGAATTTATCGGAGGATTTGATACAAAGGGAACTTTTGGAACCGATGCGTTTGGATGTTATGAGTATGTTAATGATTTGTGACTCAAATTGACTGATTCTATCAGTGCCTTAGATTAGCTAACCCTGTAATTATGCATGGTGCATTTGATTTCTCAACAACTAAAATTTAGATTTCACTTTTCTTTGCAGAATGTTAAGCATTGTTGCCTTTCTGTTTAACTTGTTTTTGCTTTATTTCTTTGAAGAAAGTATACCATCTGTCTCGTGCTAATAAGACGTGCTTTCATTACTTTGATGTTACCTGTTTTGTCTTTATGCCAGATAAGCAATCACCTTGAGCTGATCAAGCCAAACCCCAAAGATGACCCAGAGAAACAAAAAAGACGCAGAGTTTGCTGCTGCTGTCTTTGGCCATGATATAGATTTGGTGGGTGGGAACACGCAGAATGAGAATTTTATGGGTCTAAGTGATGTCAAACATTGTGGAAAAATGAGAGCACTTGAAAAACTTTTGTTTTCATGGATCTCTCAGGGTGACAAAATACTTGTGTTTAGCTATTCTGTAAGGTGATACACCTCGAACTTTTTACTTTTTGAGCACCTCCAGTTCTCTAGATTTAGCTTGTATGGTTCATTAGGTCTTATTGATCTTATTTTTTCTTTTTGGCCAATGGTAGACAGTGACTTTTATGTTTTAAGAATATTCTGTTTTCAAAGTCATTGTTTCAAGGTATGATAATAGGCCAATTGGCAATGAGACTGAAAACCTTTTATCCACGTTTGGAATGGCTCAAGACTGAGTTTATACATTTTACCATTATCCATAAGCAAACCCCACTTCTCTTCCCATCCCCGCTCAAAATAGTCTCTAGACCCTTCTGCGGATTATGACCTAACTGTAGTTTAAGTAGATATTCCATGGATTGTAGAGATTTTGTCTGATCTTTTGCTTATAAACTGTCCATGAGGGCGTATGTTCTCAGATACTGAACAATACTGGGACTTGCAAAGTGCTATGCCTTCTTTTCCTGGAACAATTTTTATTCTTCTTCTGTTGGTATTGTGCTCCTTTTGCACTTTTCAGAATGCTTGACATACTGGAGAAATTTCTTATAAGAAAAGGCTACTGCTTCTCAAGGCTTGATGGATCTACTCCAACTAATTTACGTCAGTCTCTGGTTGATGACTTCAACTCAAGTCCAAGCAAACAAGTGAGCCTCTCAAGATGATACTTCTTCTGGTTTTCTTTTTCGGCCAGGGCCTAAAATGATACTTGTTTAGGGCCATTCAATTCAATTTGCCATTGGGCTCTTATTTATGATTGTAGGTATTCTTGATATCAACTCGAGCTGGCGGGCTTGGATTGAACCTTGTCAGTGCAAATCGTGTGGTGGTATTTGATCCCAACTGGAATCCCGCTCAAGACTTACAGGCACAGGACAGGTCGTTCCGATTTGGGCAGAAGCGACATGTTGTGGTATTCCGGCTTCTTGCAGCTGGCTCACTTGAAGAGCTTGTTTATTCTCGTCAGATCTACAAGCAGCAACTGTCAAATATTGCTGTCTCTGGAAAAATGGAAAAGCGTTATTTTGAAGGGGTCCAGGTACCAAATCTATGCATTTTGGTTGTGGATATCTATTAATGTATACATAATTAATTCTTGAAAGTGAATAATTACTCGTTAGTATTCATGCAGGACTGCAAGGAATTTCAGGGGAACTTTTTGGAATTTGCAATTTATTTCGAGATTTATCTGACAAGCTTTTTACAAGCGAAATAGTTCATGTGCATGATAAGGAAGGAAGAGCACAAGCGTAGAATAGAGCGAGGAGAAAAACTTGTTCCTTCAGAAGAAGCTGATATATTAGTATCAGGTTCTGGGAGCAGGTTATCAACCAATTATAAGGGACTTCAACTAGTGAAGCAGATCTGGAAGATCTTGGTAAGTCATTTTACTCTTCGTCTTCAGTGTTGAGGATCCCATACATTGTTAAGTCCCCTCTTTTTTGGAACACGAAACCTGCGTGTTGCCATTCAACAAATAGTTTTTAAGTTGAAACTGATTAAATCATTTTACTCTTCGTCTTCAAAGATACCTTGGGTAAAGTTTTTACTTTTACCGGCACACATCGTAACGGGGAATGGCGTATTAGAAGTAGGGGCATCCTTGGTCCGTAGCAAATTTACACCGATCAACTTCGACCTGCCTTTTTGTTTGCCTTATCATGGCTGGTGTCCAAGAGACTGAGGGCAAGTAGCTGTGTGCTTATAATGTTGGTTTTCATGGTTAGCAAATATCATTTGGTCCTGCGGCTTTGATTTTGAAATGGTGCGTTGAACCTCCTAAGATGCGCATCCTTTTTCATTTTTCACTTCTATTTTGGGTAAGACATGAAGATGCCCCTTCAATTAACTATGGGACTAATCCTTGTCCGGCTGTGTCTTGGTCCTACTCCGATTTGAAAGTAAGGTCTACCCTCATAGAGCTCAATTTGTCAACTGAACCCCACGTCTTTTTCATTTTGCTTTATTGATTTGGGGAATGACAAAGTGATTTTTCTTTATAATTAACTGATGCTTTGTGTCTTAGGCATTGTCTATGCTCATCGGAATGAAGACATAGTCAACTTCGGTTCCGCCGCCATTCAAGGGAAGACAAAGACCACCATCCATCACAGTGAAAGCCAAAGCATGCCTCTTGTCCAGGGAGAAGAACCAGAGTTTGCAGTTAAAAAACAGAAAGTTCCCATCATCAATGAGAGGAAGAGAGCCCAATTTAGGCTGCTCGCTCGGTCTAGAGGCATGGGAGAGCTTGAATTTAGCATGTGGTTATTATCAGCGACTCCAAGAGAAAGAGAGGAAGTGCTTCAAGAATACAGGACTACAGGAGGAAGGAGATACCTTGAAGCCGAAAGGTACAGTCTTCCTCTTGCCAGTGAAGGCTGAAGGACTACTATACTTATTTGCACATAGGGCACTCGTTGATAGAAAATGAGAACAGTGTGCAGTATAACATATCAGGATGTACAGTCATACTTGTCTTTGCCAAGAATTGCAGTAAGGCTTTTCTGCATTTGATTGATTAGTCTTGATGTTATTCTTAGCTGTGTTATAGATCTCCAGACTCGGGCGTAATATAAGAAAGCGAATACATCAACTACTCTGATTGGGATACCTCACTATAAACATGGGGAGAATACAAAGAAAACAGAAAATCAACGTGTGTTTCTACTCCCCTCTAGCTTATAAGTTAAACCAAGGACAAAAAAATCAATATCCCTTTCTCCCTTGTAGAGGCTTACGAGAAATTCTATATATTTTATTACGAAAAAAAAAGAAAATTCTATATAGCTAATAAAGTGTCTGTGTTCCAATTCCACGTGAGCAAATACTAGTAGCAAAATTTGTTGACTCGTAATCATAGTCCAGGAACATCAGCAATTCCTAAAACCCCCCCAGTTCACTTTTACCAATGAACATTGATGCTCATTTCCCTCTTGGTTTATCCTACAATAACTCTTTCCCTTTTGATTCTAACAAAGACATCGTTGACCTTGACCGAATATGGACGCCATCACCATTGCCAACTTAAAGAACCTAACATTTTCCAAATATTGCAGCTACTTTCTCTGCATTTTGAATCTCGAGACTGGTTTCGAAGGTTGTGAACCAGAAACCTGTAAAGGCCATGACTCATGATTATAATGGGATTAATTGTCATTCATAAAAAGCATAAAGAATTATACTCATGTAGAAACACCACACTTAAATTAACAAATCTACGCAGTACCAGTGATGACGTTGAATTTTGTTCTCTTGAAGTTTTCTGTAAATTCTCAGCATGCTCTATGATAGAGCCTGTAAAAGCCTGCAGATAACATATATTTGACGGACTGATAATCTGCTGCGGAATGTGTCATGGGGAGCGAGAGATTGTAAGCATACCTTGCGACTATCAAATGATGGTTCTGAAGTCTGGCGTCCAACCTGTTAAGGAAATAATGGTACATCATGCCAATGATGATTAAGCTACCGAGCATGGTACTATAAACATTTCTGCATCAGTAAATGTACCTGTGATGCAGTTGAATTTTCTATTCTTGAAGTTCCTTGTGTATGGTCAGCATGCCCAACAATGGAGCTTGTAGAGGCCTGCTGACAACGCAGCGTACAAAATTATCAGCCAGTGCTCATTTAGTCATGGTCCTAGTACAGCAAAAAAGAGATAATAGTTGTCAACATACCTTTTGACTATCAAATGATGGGCGTGAAGCTTGGTATTGGACCTGTAAAAGAAATAATTGCACACCAAGTTATAATCTAAAATGGAGTTTTGCAAGGCTGCAATAATTTGCACATAATCTAGAGTTTTGCTCATTTGGGGTCATTTTACATTTTGGTTCGAGGGATGAGAGGCGAAAAAGAAAGAAGTAACTACTGAGAGAAGGCTAAACCAGATGCATCCGCAAAGACCTCAAGAAATTAAGATGACACATCAGGATGAGCATCTCATTGACCTTTTAGCCTCAAATGCCTAGCAGTAGCACCCAACTCTGGCAAGATATTAACATAATTATTTTTCTCACTGAGTTTCAGTTATCTGGTCCAAGCCCACAATGCCTGGCTGGCATCACAGTAAGAACAAAATCTGACAGACACTTATCGGATTCCTCATAGTCTTTGGTCTTTGCTCATTATTACTTCAATATTAGGGGTTAAAGCACCTAAACAACTTTACGTTATATGTTAGCGACAAATCATCTGATATTACGTATTACTTACAGTCCTTTTGTCGAGAGATAACCCACTCTACACATTCAAATACCAAATTTTAAGCTCTCAATTCGTTTACTCTGGCATGCACATGATTGAATTCTTAATCGACACCTATATCAACTGTGACCTGATTACACCCTTGAATATTCCAGACCTTTGTTATTGTCATGAGGACATTATGGAATGCAAAACAATTTTTAAAATGCTATAACTGTTATTTTCTTTTCTTTTTTTTGGGGCTAGCAATAAGCAAAATACTTCTTTTTATGTATTTGTTTTATTTGCACATCAAGCAACAAATAAAAGCAGGCATTATCAGATGTTAGAGGATGACAAACATCATTTATCACCTTGTGAAGGGCGCTCATCAACAAGCGGGGAAGTTTAATGATATTAAGAACCAACCAAGATGCAATATTTAAAAATGTAAAGAAAAATGATAGTGGCATTGCTACATGCATAACAAAAAATAGACTAATTTGCATGTCATTTCCAATTTAAGAAATTATGAATGAAATTCAGAGCACACGAGGGGATGATGCAAGAAGAATTCATCATAAGATCTATATACCTCAGCCTTCGATGAATTTCCTGCTTGAACTGTCTTCCGTTCAGGATATATAGTTGACTTTTCGCTAGCATCAGAGTTTTTCAGATTTTTTTGGCATAGTTTTTTACCCTCTGAAGATTCTAATACAACAAAAGAAGATGTATAAGAATGAGTGACGAACAATATAGCCATTTTAAGGGACAGAGAACCACAAACACGCATCACAGCAAAATAAGAGAGCACAGAAATCATTGAAGTCTCACCTCCAACTTGAGATTGCAATGCAAGGCTTCCAAACTGCATTTTAAAATTACAATGCAAAATAATGCTGCATTAGCTGGATTAAAGAACTTTAAACCTGAAACTAAAGAACAATGATATCTTACATAATCAGCTATATCATCTTGATACTTATGCTCTTCAGGAAATTTAGTTGTTACATCATTAGTCTGCTTCAGATCCACCGTTCGTTGGATGTCCTATATGAGCAGTGATCAGAATCAGGTGATAAGCTATCATAGTCGAATGTGCTGATAGTCCTCTTTTTCCCCCCCCTTTGGCTCTCTTTAGCCAACTAATGTACAAGATTTATAAAATGAAATCCAACAAATTAATCTAGAACATTACTTCTGAATTTGGGAGATTGTCATCAATAGGTCCCTGATATGAGGCCTCATCAAAATCACTCATAGTTCCCTCGTTTTCATCACTGTGATTACCCCTTTCAGCAGCAAGCTCTTGCTCCTCTAGTTCGTCCAACCTGGACATCATGCGAGTAAATTCCTCATCATCAGCTGAAGTTGTTTCTTTCTCAGCACCAGCAAAACCAGAAACATCTTGCTTCAGTGGACCTGAAATAAAACATTGGCATCTTTTTTCAGACTACAATAGAGACAATAATGACAATAATGAGACAGACCTCATTTCTCATGTGTCACATTCAACACAAAATAGAAGACAATAATGACACAGGAACAAAGAAGAAGCATAAAAGGTTGATCAAGCCCTAAACCGCAAAACTAAATAAGACTGAATCTTTCATAAGAGGATTAAGATTCCAATAGAACTTCCATGCTTTCTACCAACTTCATTTTACAGGGAATACCAACTATCATTTTCCCCCATCTTAAATGATGCAAGGCAACGGAAGGCAGGGACAGACCAGATTCAAATTCCTGTTTGACTGAGTTTTCCTCCACGTAATCTTCCCTTATCTCTACAAGACCCTCCTGTGCCATATTCAGCCAACACATCAGTTAATCATCCAATGAAAGTAAGCATCAACACAACAATAAACAGAAATATACCCATCATAATCCAGTGCATCCACAATTCATGGTAAAATTTGGGTACCAATAACAGAAGTCTCACGCACGAACTTAATAAAGCCGTTATCTTTATGATTTCAAGTTTATACAGAAACTGTTCCTCCACTGCACAAAACCTACCGCCGCTTCAGAAGCTGTGGCACTGAAAAATGATGCCTCGGCTCTATGGTCCTTGATAATGGCCTCAAGAGAATTAACCTGGGACTCCAAAGACTTGCCTCTTCGTCTCAAAATCTCAATGGTTTGTTTGGACGTTCCATCCGCATAATAACCTTCTCCTAAAAGAACCTGCAAGGAAAGCACTAGCTACTTTCAACTGAAATTCTCGCCTCAGCGAGCATAGACAAATCAGCAATTCAAAGAAAGGGGCACTAAAATTCAATACCAAAAACTCATTGGTGTGGATCAAACGCCCCGGGAAGAATGCTGCTTTCCCAAACGGGACCTGAGAACAATTAGACAGAGGATTCACATCCCAAGTTAAAAATTTCTTTCAGTTACCAGCAGGAAATAAGTACGATAAAGGAGAACCAAAGCTTGGTTATGTGAAAGCACCATTATATCGTGATGGAGCTCTTCGGGAAGCTTCTGAACAAGGTTGATGAGGTTATTGTTGTCCGCCATAAACCCTCGAAGACGGTCAAGCTCCTTCTCCTTCTCAGCGATCGCGTCCTGCACGCGCTTCGCAGCGTTCTGAGCCTCCTCTACCGGAAAGAGAGAGGCCAGCGGAGTCACTGTCCCTTTGCCTGCACGGTCCATTTGCACCGCGAACCCTGCTAGCACCAGAGTCTGCTTTCTCCACTTTTTGGTTTTGGCTCCTTTTTTCCTTCAATGCGGAGTCTTGCAAGTTCACTTCCCAGGCGGTTGCGCCGGTGCGTCTTCAGCACATGACATCATTTTATCATTTGAAAACTAAATACCCAAATTATTTCAAGAACACAAAAATAAACGCCGGTCAATATGAGTTTCAAGCTGTGCAAAACATCACACAAGAAGTCGAAAAAAGACCCGACTGGACTTAAATATACCAAGCATGTGAAAATATACTTAAATAAGAAATTCAAATCAACAATAATTAAATCATATTTAATAATATTAAGAAGAAAGACGCAAAAGTATCCCAAATCAAGATCCGAGATGACCTTATCAATATGAAGTTCCTGCGAACGAGCTTTGAATTAAATTTTATAATAAAATTGTCTAAATCATTTAATTTAAATTCTGAGAAATAAAATGACAACAACAATGTAATAAATAACACCAACCAAAACAATAACAATTAATGATATTTTTGTAATTTTACTACAAAATTTAGGCTCATTTAAAATGGTTTATAAATAATTTTTTCAATCTTAATTTACAAAATACTACCTCCGATTTTTAATATAAAAATTTGTTTGACTTTCATTTTGATTCTAAGATCCTATACATTATGTCTCTCATATTTATTTATTTTTTTTAAAGTAATCATTATATTAATAGTAGTTCTAGTCATATACTTGATTAACAAAGATATTTTAAAAAAAAATAACATCTATTTATTATAAATAACTAATTTAACTAGTTTTTTTAATATACTCAAATTAGTCAACTTATTTTTATATTAAAAATTAGAAGCAATACTAGATAAGTATATGGGGAACTCGGCTCACTTAAAATGTGGCGTAAGTGCTTACAAACATGATTTCAAATAAGGCCTTATTCTCATACTAATTCATAGGAAATTCATAATAATCAGACCAGTTTCAAAATCCTAAATTAAGATTTGCTTAAAGTACTCCTGTATCTTTCTGCCATTACATTACTAAGAATATGGATAATTGCTTGTTTATTAAAAAGAGCGACGCAAAAAAAAAAAAAAAGAAGCCAAATTCAAAGGGGCATTCTTTTTGTTTTTCCCCCCACCAATTCTCGTACTCCGTTCTATGCTTGAGTGGGGACAATAGACAAGCGCTTATGCGTCTATTTATTTATTTTGTGGGTGAAAGAGATTTATATTTATTATTTTACCTCTATATTGTGGCAACTAACTCGTAACTTCAATCCAGACCGACGCTCTAACGTCCCCCCGTGAGAACCACGCATATCTCTCGATGAGGAGGACGACTGCTGAATCTTTTGCTGCAACTTGCTTGATCGGGGCGTGGTTCCACTTCCCCTGGAGAGCGTGAGATATTCCCTTCTCTCCTTCCAGAATGACCCCCGTTACCAAAAACCGGTGTGGCGCGCTTGTCAACCACCGCCGTTTGCGAACTCAATAAAGAAAATCTCCCTCGGTTGAAAATCTAATTTTTTTTGCCTTCCAATTATTACTAATTTGGTATAACGTGAACTACAATTGTCAGAACCAAGCGGAAGAAGGAAGCCTTTGCTTGGTAAATTGCCTTTGGTGGTCTATTTTATCGTTGGGCTTTCACTTTCCGTTTCTGATCATGTTGTGACTCGTCGTTGCGCGCCGGCTAGCACTAGTGTTTTGCTCCTTTTGAAGCAACCTATTGTCCTCTTTTACTTATTTGCTATGACGGGCTTCGGGTTATTCTCCTGGATTCGATGCAATCAGCTGCGACTAAGAAGTGGCTTGTCCAATTGGAGTTGAATTTTTGATATGTTATGCTTAGTATTTGACATGGTTTACCCTGAAAAATTGAACTTTTCGTTGTTTAAGAGGAAGGAACTAGGGTTTTTATTCCAGATTGTGTATGTGTGGTGGGTTGTTCTGCTGTTGCTTCGACCTGCTGCGGGTCTGAGACCATTAAGAGAAAGAACTCGATCATGGAGCGATGAGGTTTGTATCGGAGCATGTCTTTAACCTCCGTTTTACCTATTGACCAATAACCATAGTGATTAGTATGCATCTTGTAACTTGGATTATTGATTCAAGTTTAATCTTGGTTCAAGTTTATTCACCGTAATCTTGATCATTGAGTCTGGTATTTTAATTTACTTTGATATTATACTGCTAGGGTTCCTCTATCTGCTACTGCTGTATCCCCCACTCTGTTGCGAGCTGAAGCTCGGAAGTTTGTGAATGTTCTGTTCCAATAAATTAAAGGGGAAGTCGTTTTGGGGAATGCAGTTGCACCTTGCACATTGGCGAGGAAAAACCGCACCTCTGGATAGGATAAGAAATTACCTTAGTTTCCTGGATGAAGGAATTAGTGATGGGAACCACACTTCTTGATAGGAGAAGAGAAGCGGGGAACTATATTGAGACAGTTCATATATGGTTGAAGAAGTTTGTGTCAAAATGCGCCCTTGTTATATTTGAAATTGAGGTTGGTTAATGTGCTCAGAGGCTAGAAGAATTTCACAATCACCAACTGTTTGAACAATTATTGCTTTTATATCACCATAAATCTGCTGAGAATTTGATCAAGGTAGGACCTATATCATCTCAAATGATGTTTAAGATTGGACATTTGCTTATGGCATAGCTGCGTCTCCAGACAATCACCGTACTAAAAAAGTAGCTCAAGCATACATCTTCTCTTCAAGTGTAATGTGAAATAGAAAATTTGCAAATGTATTTAATTTAAAGGACTATTATATTTATTGTGCATGATATGGTTGCAGGATCTTTTCAAAATAAGGAAATTTTATTGACGTTATAGCATCTCAAGGACGTTCACTTGATCCTGTTATGATCACTTTTATTTAAAAAGCTTATATATGGTTGCTTTTGATGTAAAACAAAATATCTTTTGCTCATTGATATATTATGATTTTATGATTAAGGAAAAATCTGACAGACACGTGCTTGCGTTTGATTGATATTACTTCTTTCAGTGGCTCTTTTCAACGAAAGATGAAAGTGATCAATTTTCACAATGGAACATAACAGGAACTTACAAAGGTTTGTATGCTTCGCTGCTCCTAAGCATGTGTGGCTTGGCTATATCTTTTGGGTAAATGTTAGATGTAACCACAGCCCAGATTGATGAATGATGACAATGTTCTTTCTTTAAAACATAATCACTTGAAATTTGTATATTTTGATTCCCACATAATTTTAATGGATCATGCTCTTTCTGGATTAGTGCCTTTTTTCTTTTTATTGACTAGATTCTCGTGTCCTGTGTTTTTTTGTTACTCATTCTTCTCTTTGATAAGCTTTCCTTTTTTTTATTATAAAAATTTGGACTTAATTTTCTTCTCAGTGTTGTTTTTTTGGGCAAAAGATGTTCATTTGCTCTGCGCACTTTGCTTTAGTCAAAGGCACGCTTATTTGACTGCCATTGGATAGATGGTTCATGTGAAGAAACTATGGCAAAAAGGCTGGGGCCCGGCGTAATGTAGGACCCCTGATCCTGAGTTACTTTCAATTAACTTGTGGCTTTTGGACTGCTCCTGTACTGACGATTGTTCATGAGAACACTAGAATAAATGAAATGTGTACACTTCGACAAAAATATGCTTTATGTTACTGCGTTTGCATCATAGTTTTGAATGAGCTTTACGCAATAATTTATTATGTAATGAGTTTTAAGTTTTGTCAGAACTTGAAGATGTCTGTGTGTTGACCTTTGGAGTTACAGGGACATGGAATTTTTTAGATACTGCAAATGGCTCTTCAAGATTTTCAGACATCAGGAAAACAAATGGCAATTCGGTAATTGAACTATTTAGTACGCCCACAAAAATAACTGGTGTGCATTATGTTCAGGTGAGATGAATGATTTGAACTAATTTCATATAGAAGTTGGCTTTCTTCGCTGTTAGGGTTTCTGATTCTTTCTATTTTATATTATTCCACTATTAAAAAAAAAAAATTGTTCATGGATGTTATTAGGGGGTGGTTATATTCCATGATGTGTTTGACAATGAGTACAATGTTGGTGGTGCTCAAATCAGAGTGGAAGGTGTATATATATGGCCTTTTAAACAGCTTCGAATGGTAGCTAACAGGTGAGTTCTTAAATGCCTCATTACTACCATGATGTGTAGCTCAAGTTTATTGGACACCTTATATATAACATTGTTCAGGTTGATATATCATTAAATATTTTCTGTTCCCTCAAATTAATGAGTTAATAAATATTAATTAGGAAAAGTTTGAAATTTAAGAATGAAATGTATGTACTCATTGACTTGTGTGTCCTTGGCGAGTATGAGGAAATAGAGCTTATCGACTATAAAGTTTGAGACCTTGCTTCCTGAACGTTGCAGTTGATCATACTTGGAACATCGTAATGAAGGATGAGCTCTCATTAGGAAATATAATATTAATTACTTGTAAATTACACATTATAAATACAACACATGATTTTAAATAAGATTATGAGTATTTGAATTAATAATAAATTAGGATTAAGATTTGAGGTCTTAATGTATTTTAAAGTTCTCAACTTTATTTTTCTCCGTATATGGAACTTCGCCTTGAAACACTTCTTTTGTGTTTTTGTTTTATTGTGTAAATTCTTTTCATTTGATAGTATAATTCCATTTGCAATTGAAATATCATATTTCCTTCCTTAGATTAAACACTGATTCTGAATATTCTAAAGAGTTTCTTTTATTCCACTTATTGCAGTGGGAAAGAGGGAAATTCAAATCAGGATGAAGATTATATCTTATCTAATCCATATCATCTGGTAACACATGTTTTTTGATGTGTCATTGAGCTTTTCACTATTATACTGATTATATGGCATACAATAGGTGCAAATTTTGTTTTGATCGTCTGTCTGTCATTTCATAATATAAGGAAGTGTAGTAAACTTACACTTCTTGGAGTCCAAAAACGTCCTAAGAATTATTGAATGTTTTATGATTCAAATTTGTGCCATCCTTTTCAT